TAATCCATACACACACACACACATACATACACACACTCTCTCAAAAACGTCCCCCCAACAATTGTATCTCTGTGTTTGTGAGGTTGGGAAAGATTCACCCGCCCCCTAACATTCACCAGCTCCCACACCGTGTACATGTGCTGATGTACTACTCTGTACTGCTGTATTGCCGGACCTTGGACCACTCTTCAGATGCGAATGTACATGCCATGCAAAGCTGCTGCATTTGTGCGCTGCGTGTTGTGTTCCTCACACGCGGCTGTTGAATTCCAGTTCTTTCGACCGTAAGAGGCAGGATGCACCCCCATGCCGGTGTTGGACAGCGATGGACCTGGTTATAGCGACCTGCGGAACCGATTGGGAGTGGAGTTGACGCTGCTGCCGTTGATCCCGCAGATTCCGCTGGAATTTGGTGGTGCGTGCTCAACACCAAAAAGCCGCTGACGTTGCATGAGCCGGCATGCATGCGATGGATGAGTTCTCCCCCAAACATGTGGAAAGGTAGGACTGCCCGGCTATTGTCCGTGGGCAAAGCTGTACCCCCCTACACCACACATTTATGTTCTGCATCTGTGCATGTGAGTTGGGCATGTGTATCTATCTCTGATAGGAAAGCCACCTCATGAACCTGCTTGCGTGAGCAAACCCCGGACGACCGTTACACATTTGCTTACAGCTCCCTTTCCTATCCTCTCCTTTCCCATCCAAAGCCCATCGTCATATCTTCCTCGCCTTCTCTCCTCCCTGTCTGCGCTTGTTGGCGTGTGCCCACGATTTCATCAAAAGTGTTCCTGCAGTCGATCACGATGGGACTCGAACCCACAATCCCCGCCTGAATCCCTGGCGTAAAACCGGAGGGCGATGCCTTATCCATTAGGCCACGCGACCACCGCGATGACACGCAGCACACACATCGGTTCTCATACGCCCCGTTGCTAGACGACATGGGAGCTGCGAGTCTGCGCGGCCCCATCCCACAATCACATCACCTTCACGGGCGTGTTTTGCTGGGCACACGGGGGCATTTAGGCGTGGCCGACCGGTTGTCGGGGCAAGGATATTATTCTCAATATGTGCGGGTGCACATTCTGTTCGTTGCATTCTGTTCCCCACTGCACCGAACATCGTCCCCCTATGTGTGTGTGCATATGCATGTGTCGGGCAGGGAGAGGTCATCACCGCTCGCTGCATGTGCTAGTACTGGGGCTGCATGCATGCCTGTTTTCGTAGGTGCTGGCCAGAAGGCTCAAGAGTACCAAGTACAGGCGGTCTTGGGCGTGTAGTGGATGTCCTTTGGCGTGTTGAGCGCCTCTACCCCAAAGTGGGGGAAAGGAAGCGCCGCAAATTTGTTGATTTGCATACCGCCGTTGTAGGCTTTTGCTCGATGCTGCTGATGAGAGGAGAGGAGAGGCCCCGACTTGCTGCAATCCGCACCATCCGCATGACTCTCATTTGACTCACCATCGTCAGATGGTCATGGTTGTCGTGGTGGTGGTGATGGTTGTCGTGCTGGTGGTGGTGGTGCTGGTGATGATGATGATTCTCCTTATTATTTATATTATTATGGCGCACAGCTGATGAGGAGGCGATGGTTATGGATGGGGCCTCACTCCGATATACATACATGGCTGTTGCTGGTTCGGTACTGGTCACCTGCCATCATTCCTTGCATACATACATACGTAAACGCACATGCAAGCACATGCACCACTGGCGGTATGTCCACACACACACACACTCTCTCTCGCTCTCTCAAAAACTAATCCACACACACGCACACACACACACACGCACACACACACACGCACGCACACACACACATACACACTCTCTCAAAAACGTCTCCTCAACAATTGTATCTCTGTGTTTGTGAGCTTGGGAAAGATTCACCCGCCCCCTAACATTCACCAGCTCCCACACCGTGTACATGTGCTGATGTACTACTCTGTGTTGCTGTATTACCGTACCTTTGAACGCTCGTCAGATGCGAATGGAAGTATATCGGCTTTGGAGGGTAGCGGTATTGATACCTGGCAATGGTGGGCACTGCTGCCGGCTCAGCGGCCGGCCCATTCCCGCCCACCTGCCTTCCTGCTGGATGTCGCTGGGCAGAGGGCGTCCAGCAGAAGGGCAACGGGCGCAGCTACCGGAACCTGCTCAGGGAGCTGGGCCTGTTTCGGAGCCATCCCAACAGCAGGCTGTTGAGACTGCTGCGCTATAACTTTGCAAAGGGTTTCTGAGTTAACCTGAATTTTGGTAACGATGCGGAGCTGCAGCGGTTCATGTGCGTGATTGTGATATTGAGCGGAAAAATGCAAGGTGGCGGGCCGGTGGGCAGGGCAAAGAGGGAACAATTCATGCCCTGGCCTCGCTGTGATAATCGTACAGTATGCAAAATTTTCAAATGAATTGTTGAAAGGCCCCGTGTCGAAACCTAGGACAAGTACAGTTCCAATAGGCCAACTGGCCAGGTGGTGACGCAACGTGCAACTTGGAATGCGAGAAATATACAGGACGATTTATCCTATGTTGCAAGAAAGTATGCTGGGGCTTATCCAAAGCAACCACAAAGGACCGTGGGTGTTGCGGGCTGGCTTGTCCGGCGGTCCAATCCGTGAATGACAGGTCACACCTTTGCACGTCAAGTCTTACAACGACATGCACAGAACAAAGTCAAACACTTTCTAACGTGTCGGATTACGTTGAACGCCGCTGTTGAATCTTACGACCGGTTCCATACACTCCTCCACAAACGAAATTCCTGTGCTAAATGTGTCCAAACTTAGGACTTTATGGATAGGAATTTCAAGCGGACAGCCCCAGGACGCACAGACAGCCGTCAAGGTTCGACCATATCCTTCCGTCGGCAGTCCATCCTACAAAAGGTGAAAAAGGGAAGGGGAATATCGGAACCCCTGGATTCTTTTCCTCACTGGTAACCGTTGGTTTACCTGGCGCGTCGTCTCTTTGTCAATGCCTTCGTTCAAATGCTCCTTGCAGCAGCCGTCCTGATTCACACAGCCCAAAAACTGCACGCACTATAAAAACGTCTTTAACACCGCATTCCTTCACATCGCGTGAAAGACCCGAGTGAGACAGCAGCCCCAAGAATCCTGGTTCGTTAGCACCAACCTGCTGTAGCCAGCTCCAACTTCAACGGCAAGCTCGTCCTTGCCACCTAGGGCACGCCTCTGGAAGGAAGAGCGTCGTTCCGTGCTAAATTTTCATGTAGTCAGCAACGGCAAAGAGCGCCCCGCAGGTACAGGCCCGGAGGGGCGCGGGCTCACGCTCGTGATGTGTCCTGGCACTATCGTGCCCGTAAGCCACAGCCGCCCTGTATCGTGGGCTTGAAATCGATGGGGTACAATTGTTACTGAGAATCACGCGGCGCTGCACGGCCTTTGCCACACGCAACCATAAATCTCTCTGCCTTGCCTTGGCCTTTCCGCGCCCCGCTGCATGTAGCCTCCTGCGAAGGGTCCCTACTATTTGAAAGAAGCACAAGGAAGCCAAAGGGACATCAACAGCGGATACTCCCCAACAGCGCCCTCCTTGATCGCTCGCTCGTCCTCCTCCCCGTCCGCGTGCACAGGCCATTCAAGTTCAGCTGTCACCCGGGGGCCAGCGCGCAGGCTTACCTGCAAGAGTGAACGGCAGCAGCATTAGCGGTAACGAGGTCAGGAACAGCGCGAAGGCCGTTAAGAAGAACAGCAAGGACGATCCACCACCACAAGCAACCGCAGCAGCAGCAGTAGCAGCGAATGTCCCACCTACCTGTCCGCGGAAGCAGGTTGGCGGCACCTACATCGTCGGGTGGCGACCTCGCCGCGGCCGCCACCGCCGCCGCCGGAGTAATGGGCCCGTTAGGCTTTGGACGTAGCTCAGCGCGACCGCCGCCAACCCCCGCCGCCGCTGCCACTCCGCCCGCCACCGCCTCCTCCTTCAGGACGTCCACGTCCCACCGCCATTCCATCCCGCCGCCACCACAACCGCCAACGCCATCACCAACGTTTTCATCATGTCTGCCATCACCCAGCGTGCTTGCCCTACCACCGCCAGGAGCGCTATCGGCCGCTTCTGCTGCAACCTCCGCGGCGGCATGCAGTGGTACGACAGGAGGTGGTGCGGCGTCGGCGGCCACCGTCGCCTGTGCGGCGTCACCAATAGGAGCACTAGCAGTAGCACCGAAGCCACTAGCGAAGATGCCGTCATTGCGGTTATGCCGTAGTGGTAGCGGGGGTGGTCGTACACAGTGCCAGAGGCGCATGCGGGTCATCGCGGCAGCATGGCGGGCAGGCAGTCCCGGTGGAAGCACCTGCCACGAACAGAACTCCAATGCCGTGTACGGTAGCGGCTGGGAGGTACGGCGGGCGGTAGGGGCGACGGCGGCGACCGCCGCCGCGGCGGCGGCACTGGATGGCAGCGGTGGGTCCGACGGCGTCAGCTTCGGTGGCGACACGGGTGGTGTTGGCAGCGGCGGCGGCGGTACGGATGGGGGAACGCCCTTCCTGGAGTTCCCGACGGCGGAGGTTCGCATGAGTATGGTTTCGGAGCGCGCGGCAGCGACGTGCGCGCTAGGGCCGGGGATTGCGGAGCGGATGCAGGTAGGGGGGAGCCGCCGGGGGAAGGAGGATGCGCCGCCGAGGTGAGGGCAAGCATGGGGCTAGAGTGGATCGACCATGGGCGCAGAGCAGGGGGACAAATTTTCTCGCCCTTCCTGGTAGGGTCGTGTGTATTTTCCGCCCGCCTCCCCCTTCGGCCCCGGGTTAGGGCCCCGGGTGGCGGCGACTTGCGACGGTGCAATGACGCAGATGGATGGGGTGCTGGACCCCGGGGTGGGCTGGGGGTGAACGTAAGGGGGGGAGCGCGGCTGGAAGGGGGTGAAGTGAAGCGGGGAGGGCCAGTGAAGAGGACACAGACAGACAGACAGGCAGGCAGGCAGGCAGGGGATGGGCAGCCATACATTTGAGGAAGGCGGCGGCGGTGACCATACGGCAACGACAAGTGCTACCAGCGGTGCTTCCGAGGCACTTCTTTGTTCGTACCTTGCTATGTTCTCACAGCGAGCATACATATATATACATACATACATACCCTAGTTGATGGACGGTGGTGACCTGGGATAAAGTTAACCTGCGAGCCGACCAGGAATGGAGTTGGGCCGCTGTCGACCCGGCAGATTCCGTTGGATGCTGGTGGTGGGTGCGGAACCTGAGCGATCCGCTGAGAAGTTGACTAGGGTGACTAGATGAGGGTGCCCCGAAATACCGGGGAAGGCAGGGTTTCGCAGGTTAGCTGCCACGGGTAAAGATATACCCCCCTGTTTCACACATCATACATACATAACGAATAACGATGTGCTGGGTGCGAGAAACCCCATCCGACCGGGGGCCCCCCACAGCCCCCTCCCTCCTACCCCGCCGCGCCTATGTCCCATCCCACCCCCACTGCCCAGTCCAACTCCCCTCCGGGGCCGCACCGCGCTTGTCCACTGGGGCGCCTTCTCCCCCCCCACAGGCCGACTGCATCCGTGCCGTACGATCTTGGTGCAAGCTGGGGTACGGCGATCACATCGTCGTACACGTGGTAAGGGAGCCAGGCGTGTCGCTGGGGTCCAGTTGGGGGGATGCTCCTGCGCCCTCCTCCCTCCCCTACTTCTACGTGAACCATCACTTCATTTAGTGCTGAGCGGTGTTGAGTGGTGGCGGTGATGTTGTCGGCGGAACTGAACTCCCGCTGTCGCGGAGGCGGAGGCGGCCCCCCTACAGCCCTCCTGCCTGCCCTCCTGCCTGCCGAGTAGGTCGCCAGCAGTAGCGGCAGTAGCCGTCGCCATGCAGAACAGCTGACGTCCGCGGCCACAACCGAGTGACAGAGGACCAGGGGGGTGAAGGAGACGGTTTGCAACGCGCGCGCGCACACACACACACACAGACATCATCATTACCATCATCATTATGAGTATCATTATCGTATTCGTCGTATGATGATTCCCCCCCTCCCACCACCAAATTGTCCAAACAGGAGCACCAGCAGCTGGCCTCTGCTCCTGGACTCCTCTCCAGCGCCGCGGTGGCATTCGCGGGGCCCGACGGCCGCCGCCACGCAGCCATCGCCGTAAGTGTCGGTGTCCTCACCGCCGCGGGCCCCGCAGCCGTCGCTGCGCCGCCGCCGCTGCAACCCCCCTCACCGTCTCGAGAAAGCGTCAGCCGGCAGTTCGCACCTACCCCTGCTGACGACAGCGCCGCCGCCGCCGCCGCCACCACCGAGTCAGGACCGACCTTAGATTTGTCACCGCAGCGGCGGCTGCAGCGGCCGGCGGCGGCGGCGCATGTGGCTCCAGGCAGCTCCGCGCCCTCCCTGGACCCCCTACCGGGTCTCAGCCTCCATTGGGGCTGCAGCTACGGACCTGGGCAGCGGTGGCACGCTGCGGCGCCAGGATGGCATACGCTGCCGGCGGTGTCGTACGACGCCGGTACGACATTGTGTTCAGGGTCGTTCCGCTTTTTTACCCACACACATATCTGCGGTGCATGCACCGCTATTTCCCGGGACCATGGGACCCGGGGGAGGGAGGGGAAAGGGAAGGCGAGGGGAGGGGAAAGGTGAGGGGAGGGAAAAGGGGTGAGGGGAGGAAGCGGGTGCAGCTAGCTGCTCGTTGGTGCGTGTGGTCGTCATCATCTTGGTCGTCGTCGTTGTCGTATGTCCGGGATTTTTTAGTTATTTGAAAGCCCCCATTATGTATTCGTCTTGTCCCTTTCTACCGTTTCTACTCCTAAGCCTCCTTACCCCTCGTTGCCAGCTTCCCTTACCGAAACCCTAAGCCCATCCAACCCCCATTTGCACGCACATGCACATACATACTTGCTGACATACATTCATAACCACCATTCCGCCATTTCGCTGCCTTCGGCTGAGTCCACCAAAACACGGCCCTGTGTCGCCTCCCCGTCATGTCACGTGGGGGGTCTCACCGCAAATCCTACCACAGGCAAGGGAGCCTGGCAGACGCCGCTGGCTGTACGGCAGGCCATACCGCTTGATCTAGATTCGGATTTGGATCCGGCATCAGGAGGCTGTGGTGGCACTAGCAGTAGCCCGGGGCAGTGGGTTGCGGTGTACAGTTTGGTGCTACAGCTGCCCTGGGAGGGACCCATACGGTGAGTGGGAGTGGGGAGTGGGTCCCTTTGCTGGGGACGGGGCGGCGGTGGAGGTGATGATGTGGATAGGGGGTTATCGGGACTTGGGGGGGGCTTGCGGGGTGTGGAAAGAGGGCGGTCCGGAATAGCGAGTTGGGGGGACAGTGGCTGACTTGTGTAGTTGAGTGACATGAGCCGCGATGTGTAAGGGTTGGAGGTGTCACATGCGCCGGTGTGTGTGTCTTGTTTGTATGTATGTATGTATGTATGTATGTATGTATGTATGTATGTGTGTTTAGACTGTTCTCCTCTTCCTCCTCCTCGTTCCCCTCCTCCTTCCCCTCCTCCTTCCCCCCCTCCTCCTCTTCTTTCTCCTCCTCTTGTCCTCTTCCAGGAGAGGGCCCCCTCACTTAAGCACACACACCGTCCCCAACCCCCCTCCCACACGGTCGTGGCGACAGTGACGGCGGCCTTTGCTTCGTGCTCAAGACTGCTCGAAACCAGTGGATTAAGGCCCGGGTGCTGCCAGCTGCCGGTGCAGGCCGTACTGGCAGCGGCCATGGCGGCAATAGCCCTGCAGGTGGCGGTGGTGGAGTGGAGGCAGATTTCTGGATTCCCTGCTCGTCCATTCCGGTAGCGGCGAATGGAGTGCCGCTGCTTCCGGACGTATTCCGAATGAGCCACTCGGACAGCCTACCGCAGGTACTGCGTGTGTGTGTGTGTGTGTGTGTGTGTGTGTGTCTGGAGTATGTGGGGGGGAGGGAGGGGTGCGGTGCGTTGGAGTGGAGGGATGTGGAGGGAAAGGGGTGTGAGTAGGCATGCCATTTATGGCGTAAACACCGCAGATTGTACGCATATTTACATATATATATGTATATATATATGTATATATATATATATATGTAACCCGTTATATATATATATATATATGTAACGGGTACAAACCTTGGCCAATAATTCTTACATACCTTCCGCCTTCCGGCAAAGATTCAGCGCCAACTTCAAACATGAACCCCAATTTTGGAGGGATTCTAGGATTCTGGAGCCTGTCATACGGCGCACGTGACAGCGCAACTATCTCTGTACGACCCAACGGCCATGTCCGTACCACCCTAGCCGAAACTACGCATGGTGACAAAGGTTGTTTTGGCGCGATAGCTTCCGATTTCAACGCCAAGTTTAGGGGAATGGAGGGCTGTGTCATACCTCCACCCATGACCGCACAAAGATGGTTGTACGGCCTAAGGAGTATGACTGTACATTCTGACGCCGCCCTTAGACAGTCAGCACAACCTCCTCATCGGCTCCCTTGGTCTCGGCCTGGCAGTTGGCCTTGACGAAGATCAGCTTCCCTGCGCGGCGCATTTGACCAGGGCAAGCTCCGGTCCACCAGGGTTGGCAGAGGAGCGAAGACGGGGACAAACGTGTGACACCAGTTGGGCCGCTTGCTGAGTTAACGCAGCCGGTTGCTGCAGCTCGTTGAAAGATTCTTCGGGAGCAGCTGCTCGACACGCCGTGGTTGCTCGACATGCTGCAACCCTAGTCGTTAAGCAACCATGGCGTGGCAGCAGTGGGGGGGAACAGGGGACGGAGGGGTGTGGGAGGGGGGGGGCTGTAGGAGGGGTGCGGGTGTGGGTGTGGGAGGTGGGGATGTGTGGTAGGTAGGGGGGAAGGGGTGTGGGGTGTACGAGGAGTTGGGGGTACGACGAAGCACGGACGATTGACGAGATGAAGGAACCATTGACGGATATGCCAAGGTAAGACCAATACTGAGAGAGGAGAACGAGCAAGGAAGATTGTGACCCCTAGTGGCTTGGTTTGTAGTCATCGCGGCAATGTAGGCAGTTAAATTCCGGAACTATAAAGCATCTGCCGAGTCCAAAGGAAGGACAACGAATTGACTGCCTAGCCGTGGAGATAAAAATAAAAGAGTGATAAAGGAAGCAGAAATGCAGACGAAGCCGTAGAGGTGAAAAGTAAAGGTAAAGGCAGCGGAGGGCAAAGCTGCCTTTAAGTTGTATCGGAAGCTGTGTGCCGACCTGTAATTGGAAGTAGTAGTAACTAATAACTAAATTTGCTGATTTGCAGCGCCAATACGCTGTTAGCTGCCACGCAAGTGCTCCTCCCAACCCCCCATCTGACACGCCCCTGACCCGACCGACCCACCCACCCCAACCCGAGGAGCCGAACGACGCAACGCGCAACAGGGACAGAGCTCGCATCCAGTAGGACTCACCTGGCCAGGCGGCATAAGCGGCAGGGGCGGCGGGCAAAGGCACATGCGAAACAGAAAAGAAGGAAGTTGATAAGGCGCGCAGATAAACGAAAAACGCACGCGGAATGCCGCAGTATGAAAGACTAATAAATAAAGCGTAGAAGATGAAAGGGTTGAGGAGAACCTAACAAATATAAAAAGGAAAAGAGGGACAAGGAGTTGGGGGGAAAGGAGGGGGGAAGGAAGGATGGAGCAGGAGGGGAGGGAGGGAGGGAAGTATGTGTTTAGTGAAGTAAGGGAAGTAAGTAGTTGTGGTTCTCGGGAGGGGTTCCTCTTGTGTTGTATGTATGTATCTATGTATGTATTTTGGGCGGGTGTACGTGCGGGTGGATGTCATGGAGGAGGAGGATGTGGACCATTTACCTGCGTACGGCGGGTGCCCCTAAACCCGCACACACCCTTACGTGCTGCCGCTGCTGCCCCATGTGCCGCCTGATCAGCCCGTACAATCTCAGGTATATCCAACTGACAACTCAAACAGGGACGAAGCCCACGACCCATCCCCTCCCCTCCGTCCCCTCCCCCCCCGCGCGCCGTACTGCCCAGGTGGCGGTACAACAGGGAATTACCACCACGGTTCCGGAGCCATCCTCTCACAGCCACCAGCACCATGGCAACGGCAATAACGGTCATGGTGACGTCAGCTCTGCCGCCGCCACTACAACCCCTACTCTCACTCCTCATCAGCCAGCTGGGTCAGTGACCCCGGCTGGTGGTGGTGGTGCTGGCGGTGGTGTCTTAGAGGCGCAGTCCTCCGGCCCCCCGTCTGAGTGGGGGTCGGAGGCGGTGGACTTGCTGGGGTTTGCTGCGCACTTCCGAGCCCCCCCCCGCCTCTCCGATGTACTGCTACGGCCCGCAGACCGCCACCCGCTGCCGCCACCGCCACCCCCGCCAGCGCCTGAAGCCGAATCCGAATCCGAATCCGGATCCAGGCGGCGGTCCTCTGCGGGTCCGGGTGCGCGCGTGTGTGTGTGGATGTTGGATCACATCGCCCAGAAGGAGCCCTCCGCGGAGAGGTCCCTGATGCACCGGTAAAGACTGGGGGGAAGGGGGCGAGGGTTGTGTGTCTTGGGGTGTGTGTGTGTGTGTGGACAGTTCAGGGACACGGTCGGCCTGGGGGGCCAAGGGGCACCATGGGGCCTTCCCCCTCCCCTTCCCCTTGGGTAAGGAATTCACCAAGGGGAATGACAAGGGGATAAGGTTCATGGGGGCGCGCTGTGAGCGGACGCTGTGTTTCATTTCCTTCGTCTTGTCCTGCACACCACCGCTGCACCACCACCGGCCCCAGTCCACCCCTTACCCCTCCCCCCGCTCCCCACTCCCCCTCAGCTACGTACACAGCACAATGCGGCATGTCCGCTTCCCACCTAATGTATTTCCCAACCCCGCAACCACCACAACAGCAACCGCCATAACTGCTGTCCGTACAGGTACAACGTGGGTGCTGATCTGGTTGAGATGGCCGGTGGGAGTGGGGAGGTGGCGGAGGCCCTGGCGGCCGTGACCACCTGGCTCAGGTTGGCGGGTTTGGGGGTTGGGGCTGGGGGGGTGGAGTTTTAGGCTTTGGCGTGAGGGTGGTAAGATAGTTGATCGTCTGCATCATAGAATTTCCTGCTCTTTTTCCCCCTCCCTCACCCTCCCTCACCCTCCCTCACCTCCCTTCACCCCTCCAGACTCCC